CAGCCTCGTGGGAGACCGGTGCGGACGCCGAGCAGACGAAGCCCAGCCCCGGAAGGCCGGGCCGCGCCAACGCGGGCACGCCTGCCCCTCCAGCCTCAGGCTGTCCACCCGAGGGCTGGGCCCGGCCCCTGTCCACACCCCAACACCCACCAGGACAGGCCTCTTACCTCCTCCCTGCAGCGGTTTATGGGCAGGTCCGGGTAGGTGTACGCGGTCTCTGGCACGCACGTGGCAGGGCGGGCTTTAGCCACCGGGGGCCGCGGACCTGGATCAGACGAAATGCGCACCAGGCTACTTCTCCCTGGACAGAGACCAGGCCGCCCCGCGCGCTTGCTCAGCAGGTAGAGTGCCGGCCTGCAGACCCGAGGCCCGGGTTCGATTCTGGCCTCGGGCTTGTACCACGGTCGCAGGCTCCTGGTCAGGGCACGGGCAGGAGGCAACCAACCAACTGATGTGTTTCTCTCACATGGATGTTTCTGTCTTTCCCTCTCTCTCCCTCTCGCCCTAAAAATAGATGGGAAAATATCCTCGGGTGAGGATTTAAAAAAGACAAGGCAAACAACCCCATGTTATTTCTAATCTGCACGTACACCACATTCTCACACACACACACACACACACACACGCACACGCACACCATGTTCTACAGGCCACGCTGAGGGAATTCAGTAAAGCCCCTGGTCCCCGCTCCACATCACGCATCTGAGTGGGGCCCAGCCCTCCCGTCAAAGGCAGGAGACCGGCAGGCAGAGCGCTCGTTGCTGGGCAATGGGACTCCAAGGGAGGCACAGACACAGCTCATAGCAGCGGCCGCAGAACGCACACTGTGCGTGCTCAGGTCGCTGCTTCCTCCTGAACAGTGGGGAGCGGGAGGCACGGCGCCCAGAGGGGCCCTCCTGCTGGCAGACACGACGGGCGCCGCCCCTCGCCGCGCTCCTGGGCGCTCCTCCTGTAACTCCGGACTCCCACCCCCCTTGGCAAACTGACACTGAAATCCATGGCAGAGGGGAGGGGGGCATGTATGGGAGTGGGGGGGGTAAGATATGTACACATATAATACATTTAAAAAAATGAGAAAAAGAAAGAAAAAAAAGAAATTCATGGCAGAGGAACTCTCACGGGAATCATTTACTTCCCAGTTAAACTCGGCCCAAGCGCCGTCCTCTCCACCAGCCCCGTCCTCTCCCCCAGCGTCCCTCCCTCCACCTCCCGGTCCCCTGCATCTGTCCATCCGACACGCGTGCACAAGCTCTCCTTGCTCTCCCGTGCTCTCTGCGTAGGTGGCTTCTTAGCTGCTCGAATAACAGCGGGGGGGGGGGGGGGGGGGCTGTTTGCCTGTACGTGCATCCAGGAGGGCACTTGTCCTGAGCTTGAAAGGAGAAGAGTCCGAGTTGTCAAACCTCTCAGAGCCAAAGCAGCTGCTTCTGGGCCAGCAGAGGCACTGGCTCCGGGCTGCCCGCTGCCTCCCTCCCGGCCTCACCGCACTCCCCCACAGCTCCTCTCCGCTGACACACACCAGTGCTGCCTCCTGCCTCCCAGCTGGTGAGCCCCCCGCCCCCCGCCGGAGCACTCTCAGCTAGAGTCCTAAAGCCGCCCTGGCTGGTTGCTCAGTGGTTAGAGCATTGGCTGCGAACTGAAGGGTCCTGAGTTGAAGTCCGGTCAAGGGCATGTATCTAGGCTGCGCTGGATCCATGACCCCTATTTGAGGCACGTGCAGGAGGCAACCAATCAAGCAAGCAGCATGGATTCTTTATTGACCAAAAGGCTACATTTCTTAGGCTTTTAAGAAGTTAATGTTTTAAGAGACCTGACTTGGGATGGTAAACACACCATGCACTATGCAGGTGATGTTTCTGGAACAGTACACTGAAACCCATATAATGTTATTAACCATCATCCCCAACAAATCAATTAAAAACGAGAAGCAAGCATTTCAGCGCGTGACCAGCGCGCACTTCCTGTTTTGCAGCCGTGAAGGACGCTGTTACCTGGCCCGCGGGCTGGGTGCTCGCTGCCGTGCAGGTCCAGCTCCTGAGCCTCGAGCTGCCTGTACTTGTTAATGTACTCCAGCTCCCCACTCTTCCGGCCCAGAGACCTGCAAACAACACCCAAACTCAGTGCACTGTTTCCGAGAGGCCGAGGACCCACCCTGCACTGAGGAACGCTTGAACACTCATCAAGTCACAGAAGAAACGAAAATGGTCAATTAGCAAGGAAAGGGAGCCCTAGATGGTATGGCTCAGTGGATAGAGCATCCGCCTAAGGACCAAAGGGTCCCAGGTTTGATTCCGGTCAAGGGCATGTACCTCGGTTGCAGGCTCCTCCCTGGCCCAAGGCCAGGCCCTGGTCAGGGCGCATGCAGGAGGCAACCAATCAACGTGTCTCTCTTACACTGTTGTTTCTCTCTGTCTTCCCCTCTCTCTTCCACTCTTCCGAAAAATATCCTCAGTGAGGATTCATAACAACAAAAAAGTAAAAATACACTCAAATTCGTAGTCATTTACCAAGCAGATGCGAATTAAAGTGATGCAAAACCATTTTTCATCCTTCAAATTGGCAAATGCATAAATTGTTAGATCACGGGAGGGTGGCAGCTGGGTCTGACCTTTCCTCTGAAGGCGGCGCCGGCCGGTGTCCATTAGAACCCACGGCTCCGCAGCCAACACCGCCCCCTCCGCATCTCACAGAGCCCGTGGGGCAGGAGGCACGGGCCATGCCATCCGGCACCGGAGCAGCCTCAGAGCCAGAGGCGCGGAGCGTCCTCCCAGGGCAGACGGCCAGAGCGGCAGGACCTCACCTGTGACAGGCAGGCTGGGCTCCAGGAGGCGGTGCCTCTCACCATACCTGTGGGAGTCAGAAGCGGGGGAGGCCCAGCAGAGGGATACGCTAACCTGTGGCATACTCTTACTCTTACCTAACCCGGGTCATTTTTTAAAAGAATGCCATCCGAGGCCATACGCAAACTAAGAGACACAATGTCCCCAACAGCCCTGGTGGTGTGGCTCATTGGCTGAGCAGCGTCCTGTGCACCAAAAGGCTGCTGGTTCGATTCCTGGTCAGGACATGTGCCTGGGTGTACAGGAGACAGCCAATCAGTGTTTCTCTCCCTCCCCCTCTGCCCTCCCCTCTCTCTAATCAGTTTTTTTTAATGTCCCGATCTTTCAGTGAGAAGATACCTGCACTGTGACATGCCCGCAGCACTGCACGGGTTTCTGGGGGGGTCTACCCGGGATGCTGTCGGAGGAAGGCCGGCGATGCCAACACGGAGGTCTGAAGTCACTTTAATACGATGGATTCACATTAAAGGCCCTCGGGTCTGATATCCCAGCCTATCAGCACTCTTCTGGTCACTAGTTCCCTGACATCTACTCCTTGGTTCCCTCAGCAAAGCGGCCGCTCAGGCCTAGAGGCTGCAGTCAGCTGGGGGGTGGAGGGCGGTGGGGGGTGGAGGGCGGAGGGGGGTGGAGGGCGGTGGGGGGTGGAGGGCGGTGGGGGGTGGAGGGCGGTGGGGGGTGGAGGGCGGTGGGGGGTGGAGGGCGGTGGGGGGGGGCGGTGGGGGGTGGAGGGCGGTGGGGGGTGGAGGGCGGAGGGGGGTGGAGGGCGGTGGGGGGTGGAGGGCGGTGGGGGGTGGAGGGCGGAGGGGGGTGGAGGGCGGAGGGGGTGGAGGGCGGTGGGGGGTGGAGGGCGGTGGGGGGTGGAGGGCGGTGGCGGGTGGAGGGCGGAGGGGGGGGAGGGCGGTGGGGGGTGGAGGGCGGGGGGGGGGGGAGGGCGGGGGGGGGGTGGAGGGCGGGGGGTGGGTGGAGGGCGGAGGGGGGTGGAGGGCGGTGGGGGGTGGAGGGCGGGGGGGGGGGGAGGGCGGGGGGGGGTGGAGGCCGGGGGGGGGGGGAGGGCGGGGGGGGGGGGAGGCCGGTGGGGGGTGGAGGCCGGGGGGGGGTGGAGGGCAGCAGGGAGTACAGGGCAGTGGGGGGTGGAGGGCGGTGGGGGGTGGAGGGCGGTGGGGGGTGGAGGGCGGAGGGGGGTGGAGGGCGGTGGGGGGTGGAGGGCAGCGGGGAGTACAGGGCGGTGGGGGGTGGAGGGCGGTGGGGGGTGGAGGGCGGTGGGGGGTGGAGGGCGGTGGGGGGTGGAGGGCGGTGGGGGTGGAGGGCGGTGGGGGGTGGAGGGCGGAGGGGGTGGAGGGCGGTGGGGGGTGGAGGGCGGTGGGGGGTGGAGGGCAGTGGGGAGTGCAGGGCAGTGGGGAGTGGAGGGCTGTAGAACTAGTGACCAGAAGAGTGCTGATAGGCTGGGATATCAGACCCGAGTGCCTTTAATGTGCTCCAGGTGGCCTGCACCAGGTCCGAGGCAGCACGGACCACAGCAATCAGAGGCGGTCACCCAGGGCAGCAGCGGCGGAGGCCGCAGGCAGCTGGCAGGGGACTGTCCTGAGCACCAACCACCACGGTAACTGAAACCTCCCGGCTGCAGCTGATGGCGCCGTCTGCCCTGTGAGCAGCTGGCGCTGCAGACGCCACACATAACCTCTCCCATCATGACATGCAGGCCTAATGTGAACCATGTCCCTTCTTCATGGTTCCTTTGGAGGAAAAGGCCAGAGAGAAATACTGTTAAACTAGAGGCCTGCTGCACGAAGATCCTGCGACAGCCGTCCTTCCCCTGGCTGCCGGCACCGGTTTCCTCCAGCTCCGGGACCCAGGCCTTCACTCCGGCCACAGCGGAGAAGCCAGCCTCTTCAGTCTTCAGTCCTCTTAGGTCTTCCGTCTTTGCACTGTACCTGCGTATGCAAATTAGCCTGCCATCTTTGTTGGGTTGGTTTGCACACTCATTCCTGATTGGCTGGTGGTCCTTGCGGAGGTATGGTCAATTTGCATATTTCTCTTCATTATTGTAGATGTCATCTAAGGAAAAGCCACTGTGCTGCCGTCGAACACAGTGACACCCTGGTCCTCAGCACCCACCAGACAGGAGGTGGTCGCTACAGTGAGTCACATGTCCTCAGGCTCCACTTCCCCGGGCCGCACCGCCGAGTTTTCGGAGATCACGGTGCATGTCGCAGTCACCTGCCTGCGCATGCGGGTAGGCGTCCTGTGGCTGTGGCCCGCTTGCACACACTACTGCTCAGACAGAAAACGAGGGGCGTCCGGCCCCTCCGCAGCTCACCGACCCAGCGGCTCTGCCCCTCTCTCTCGGTGACGGGGCTTGCTCAGAACATGTGCTTTGCCACGCCTGGTCCACTCTCCTGCTGTCCCTCAGAGGACGGGACCCGGCTCCAACGGCCTGGGAGCACAGCTCAAGAGTCAAAGCAATAAGGTTATTTTTGGAGCTCCCGAGGCACGAATTACACTCCGTGACCGCAGCGGCAGCCGCAGCAGGCAGCCCGCGCCCTGGGGCACATCTGAGCACGGCTCGCCCGGCGTCCACCCCCCCCCACGTCGGAGCGTGTCCATCGCATCGAGGGCAGCACCGGGCCGCGGGCGTCTGTGCAGACGAGGAGCCAGTCTCAGGCTGACCTGTAAGCGGCGGCCGCGGTAGTAAGCTATTTCGGTCGTTTCCTCCGCTCTTACAAGGTGAACTAGCGAGCCCTCTCCACAGGAAGACTTCACAACCTCGTTCCCAACATAGCAAGTTATTTATTCCGGCGCAGCCCGGCGGGAGCGAGCGGGAGCAGCCTCGCAGGCGCGGCGGGAGCAGCAGAGGGAGGCGGCCGAGCGCCCGGCCGGCATCCCCACCGCGGACCCAGCCTCCAGGTACGCTCTCCCGTGTCTGTCCGCGCCCGTGTCCCGCATGTCTCTGGACGGCGCTCGGCTGCCATTTAAAGTGTCCTCAGAACTTGTAGAGCAAGCGTTCGTGCGGCTCTCAGAACAGGCTCAGTCTGCAGCTTATCTCTGACTTTGCATGTTTCCTTTCGGCTTAGCTCCAGAGCATGGTTAAAGCTTGGTTGGGGCACCGATCGACCTAGTTAGGGATTAAGACTTCATCCATGTTCCGACCTTCCTTTGACCTGTGTATCTACCCAGAGAAATGCGCTCCCTTTTCTGGAAAAGGCAGTAAGCAGAGACGAACCTTTGCTGTCAGACCTGACACTGAATAAACGCGGACCCCCCCGCAGGCGATGCCCCTCTTCGGCTGGATGAAGTGGCCCCGGCACAGCCCCTGGCGCGCGGCGCGGGGCGCGGAGGCCGTGGCCAGGACGCTGCTGCGGGAGCTGCAGTGGCACCTGCAGGAGCGGGAGCGGTTCGCACAGGAGGTGGGCCACGGGCACCACGGGGCTGGCGCGGGGGAGGACGACCCCTGGCTGAGGACCCACCTGAACCCCCACACCGCCATCCCCGCTACTGAGCAAAGGCGGCTGGAAGCGCTCTGCTCGCGAGTGCAGCCCTGCCAGGCGGGAGCCGTTCTCAGCAGGTAACAGCCCCCTCGCTGTGATGGCTGCTGTGGGTCTGAGCGCTCACGCACCCGGACGCCGTCAGCAAGCTCTTTACCGGGGGCATCCAATGCCCAGCAACCGGGCGCCAGCGAGCAATGTCTGCTGCCGTCTTACTGGCCAGAAACGCTTTAAGTCACCCCGAAATCTCTTTCCCAGACGCATAAACTAAGCCGCGTGCAGACCCGCCCAGGTGGCACTGCCACACGGCCACGGGATGTGCTGCGTGTGGGAGACAGGGTGGCACTGCCACACGGCCACGGGATGTGCTGCCCGTGGGAGACGGGGGGTGGCAGTGCCACACGGCCACGGGATGTGCTGCCCGTGGGAGACGGGGGGTGGCACTGCCACACGGCCACAGGATGTGCTGCCCGTGGGAGACGGGGTGGCACTGCCACACGGCCACGGGATGTACTGCCCGTGGGAGACGGGGTGGCACTGCCACACGGCCACGGGATGTACTGCCCGTGGGAGACAGGGGTGGCAAAGGGCACTGTCGGACCACGTCCTCTCCCTCTTCCCTCTAGGTTTAGAGACGTCCTGGCAGAAAATGATGTGCTGCCCTGGGAAATCATCTACATCTTCAAGCAAGTCCTGGAGGACGCCCTGGGGGGCCCTGGGCAAGGCGGGCAGCTGGGCCTGGCAGCGGGGAGTGCGGGGGGCCCCACTCTCCCTGCGTGCCGGAGGGACAGCGCCCGGAGCTCAGACCAGGACGAGATCCCCACGGTGTCCAGCTACGTGGAGCGGCAGGCAGAAAGCAGGCTCCCCACGCTCTCGCACAGGACGTGGGACCTGCCGGACCACCCCCCGCCCCGCTAGGCTGCTGGCCAGAGGCACGCAGGACCATGGCGGTCCGAGCTTAACCTTCAGAAGGTGACGTGACCCCTCCCCCACTCTCTCTGCTGTGAGGTCAAAGTTAAGGCCCATGAGGGCGTGTCCTGCTTAGAGGGTGTTCCCTTTGAACCTCTCCAGCAGTGCGATGTTCCTTTACTAAAATCTTTCCTAAATATTTGGAAAAGAACATGTGAAGTATTTTCTTATACCTCAAAGCCTCTCACAGGAAGAGAGGCACTTGTGCAGTAAGAGATTTGACAGATTCTGTGTGACACTCGGACAGCAACCTGCACTTTGATGCTAAGAGGAAGCTACACACAGAACAAGCGAGTGGCGTCAACCCTCGCGCCTGCGACCGTGTGGCCAGGGCATTCTCTCAGAGGAGACCTGGGGGCAGGAGTGAGGGCAGCGTAAAGGCAGCATGAAGACAAGGCTTCATCCCTACACTTTATTTTAATCTCAGCTAAATGAAGGGGAAGTATAAAAACACAGCTGTGTCAGATCAGGAAAAAGAGACAGCTGAAGTAGCATTAGTAGCTGCTACTCTCAGAAAACAATGCTGACGTATACTTTACACCGATATTATGTTCATTTTAAATACCAGCATACTTAATACCTAAATTAAACATTTCATAACTTCATTAAAGTAGGAAATTATTTATTAGTCATATTTATCTTTATGATCAAACTAGAGGCCCAGTGCATGAAGATTCATTCACTGGAGGAGTCCCTCAGCCTGGCCTGCCCCTCTCACAATCTGGGAGCCCTTAGAGGTGGGAGGCAACCTGGCCATCAGGGGAAGCAGACGCCCCATCACACCTCTGCTGCTGCCACTGCCGGCAGCACAAGCCTTGGCCGGCCCTGGTTACGGGCGGCCCTGGGTGGCTGGGGAGCTAAGGGACTGGGTGCTGCCATGTTATGTTTGTGGGCACCACCATCTTCGAGGGCATGGCAGTCAATTAGCATAGTCCCTCCTTATTGGCTGTGGGCACCGCCATCTTTGCAATGGCATGAGGGTCAATTAGCATATTCCCTCCTTATTAGATAGGATGCTAGACTTTATCATTCTCTTTTGTTTGTTAATCCTCACCTGAGGATAGAAATGCATTTCAGAGAGAGAGTGGAGGAGGAGACAGAAAGAAACATCAATGTGAGAAACCCATCAGCTGGTTGCCTTCCACAAAGGAGGTACATGTCCTCGACCAGAAACGAACCCAGGACCCTTACATCGGTAGACGGATGCTCTATCCACAGAGCCAAACCAACTTGGGCTAGACTTTACCATTTTTAAAGGTAATTCCAAGGAACCTAATGTCTACAGTTTTATATCTGGAGATTTGTGGGGGGTTATTTTTCATCTAAAAAGAAAGAAAATAAGAACGGAACTAAACCTCCCCGCCAAAGCGCCCGCCTGGCCCTCCTCCCTGTGGCCTCCGATCCAGCCGTGCCATAACCAGGGTCAAGGCGACCAGGGCTCGCTGGACAGGCCCCAGGGAGCCGCGGAGGGCCTGTGCCGCCTCCGTTCGCAGGGGGCGCGGCGAGGGCTCTTCCCGCGGTGCTTGAGGTTGGCCCCACGCACAGAGCTGCTGACCGGCACCCCGGACCAGCCAAGGCCTGCGCACCGTCCACGCGTGCCAGGCCCTGAGCCAGCTCCACCAGCTCGTCTCCTGTGGCTGCCATGACGACGACGGCCTGCCCGCCTGGCACCGCTCGGCAGGCACCGCGTTTCAGAAAGGGAGGCTGAGGCCATGCTGCAGGGGGGTGTCTATGGAGGCCGTTGTTCCCCAGGCTCAGGGGGTCAGCGTTTTAGCCAAGGCGTGTCCAGAGATTTCAACGTAACATACAGCCTACTCAGCAGGCTATGGTGTGGTGTACGCATAGCTTATGTGCGCTGGGAACCCCAAACGTTCATGTGACCCCTTTACCGTGAGCTTGCTTCACTGCCATGGTCTGGGAGCGACCTGCAGTGTCTCCGAGGTGTGCCTGCGCCACCAGCCCTGCCGCCCGCAGGTTCTGTAAGCCGGAAATCCAGGAAACCAGCGGGCCCTGCTTAGGGTCGCACAGGCCAGCACCGGGGTGCTCACAGGCTGCGATCCCCACTGGGACCTCATTCAGGCTGCGGCAAACTCCATGCTCTGAGGTTATAGGTCTGAGGCCCCGTTTCCCTGCTCGGAGCATCAGCGGGACCGGCCTGGCCCCACCACGCCCACAGCCTTCTGGTGCTTCCTGAGGCCCCCTCTAACCACCGCAGGCCCGCCCTCTCCTGCCTGAACCCGGCTCTGCAGAGGCCTCTGCTCTGAAGGTGCTTGTGATTAGATAACCCAGGTTAGTTCCGTTTTAGGGTCTGAACCCTCTATTCCATCTGCCGAGTCCCTTTGCCATGTCACACAGGCACAGGCACAGGCCCGGGGGCAGCTCCAGGGTCACCTTCCTTCCAGGACTTCCTGCTGGAAGCTGAGCAACAAGCCACCTTACCACCACCCTTTTTCCTCACCTACAGTCAGAACGCCACCCACCCCCCGGAGCTGTCCGGAGGGCTAACACGGCTCCACGGTGCTGCCCTGAGCCCACCACACGAGGGCGGAGCCCTGACAGGAGATGGTAGGGTGCAGGCCCTGGACACTGTCAGGAGGAGAACGGAGACGGCCGGATGTTGACACTGTTGGCACCTGTCACTACCGAGGCTGACGCTCTCCTGGCAAGTTCACAGCGATTTTACACACACTGATTGTAATAATTTTTAGAATGGGCTCATTTTTGTCTTTTCATTTATTTTACAAGAGTCTCGGTCCATAAAGATTGGAAATTTAAAAAACTAGTCCTTAGTTATAGGAACACTTAATACATACTATCATTTCTGACAAGGTTAATATTAATTTACTTCCAATCTCACACCACAATGAGTTACTTAAAGCAATGTTGTTCTGTCCTCCAAGTCTAGGGAGCAGGTGGGGGGGGAGGGTCAGTGAGGAGGGCAGCCCACGGGGTCACTCGGCAGAGTCATCCTAGAGGACAAAGCGCACAAACCCATGAGCAGCCGCCGCCCAACGGGCACAGGGTCTCTGTCCCCTCCCTGCCTCCAGGAAACAAATCCACCCAAGGCCCCAAGAGCCCCGGAGCCTGCAAAGGCTGGAACCACCATGAGCCCTGACCCACCGGATCAGACAGAGCAACAGACAAGGTCAACTTAACAAATTAAAACACCACCACCCTGCGGGCTGTCCCATAAAGGGTGCTGAGCTCCGGGGAGGGGCCAGGCGGGGACGCAGATGCCCAGAGCTGGAGGTGCCTGCTCGGGGCCTTCAGAGAGGGCAGGTGTTTCTCCTAAAACAGCAGGCATCCTCCCGCCCCCAGCATCACAGGCAGCAGCTGCGTAAGTCAGACCACATGGGAGGCAGAGCAGAGCGCCCGTAAAACTGACCAAAGCTCCCGCTCCCTCGCTCCGGGGTGTTTACCGGTCGCGTTGAAAACCTCTGACCCCACAAAAACCTGGGCCTGGGGCCTGGGTGCTCACAGCAGCTTTATTCGTAATTGCCAAACGTGTTCTTCAGTAGGTGGTACCCAGACGTACCAAGCACTCGAGAAGAATGAGCTCTCGGGCCATGAAAAGGCCTGGAGGAACCTTAATGGCATCTGGCTAAGTGAAAAAAGCCGATCTGAACAGGCTACACACCTGTGATTCCAACCACAGAACATTCCGGAACATGCAAAACAATAGATATTAAAAAAGACCAGTGGTTGCCGGGCGGGGGTGTGTGTGTGGGGGGACGGGGGGATGAATAGGCAGAGCAATGTTCAGGGCAGTGAAGTTGCTCTGTATTATACTGGTGGTGGATACACGTCATTGTACATCTGCCCAAACCCAGACTGCGCCAGAGTGGCCGCAAGAGTGGGCCCCCTTCTTAGTTATGATGGATCCACTCCGCTTCTTCATCCGTTGCAACAAATGTAGCACATTAAAGTAAAATGTTAATAGGGCAATGCTGGAGGGGTTGGGAGGGAGGGGGTCCACGGCTCTCTGCACTCAATTTTTATGTAAAATTCAACTGCTCTGAAAAAGTCGTCCAGCCCAGCCGCATCACATGGCTCAGTGACTGAGCATCGACCCATGAACCAGGAGGTCACAGGGACATGGCACATGCCCTGGTTTCGGACTCCATCCCCAGCAAGGGGCGTGCAGGAGGCAGCCCACCCATGATTCTCTCTCATCATTGATATTTCGATCTCTCCCTCCCTCTTCCTTCCTCTCTAAAATCAATTAAATAAATAAGTAAAATATTCTATTAATAAAGAACTAGAACTCCGCATCTGGTGGGGGAAGGTTAGCTGGTGTGCGTGGCGGGACGGGGTTTGTCTGTGGCCAGCTCGCTTTGGGATGGCCAGGCAGCGGGGACCAGGGACGTGCCAATGGGGCCCAAGTCCTCGCTGTCCCGGCCCCGCACCCGCCCGCAGCCCGGCCGGCCGCCTACCTCCTGGATGCCGCCTGATGCGCCTGCGCAGGTGTCTGCGCCCGCACCCGGGCCTGGGCCTCAGCCCGGGCCTCAACAGGGCAGGCACCAGGGGCTCTGTCCCTGCGCTGGGCCTCCTCTCTGGCCGCCTCGGCCGGGAAGGCGGGCGGCGAGCCCAGCAGCTCCACATCGGTCACGGTCTTGCCGATGGTGAACCAGTCGTTGATCTGGTCGACGGTGAGCTTACGCAGCATGGTCGCAGCCCGGCCTCAGCTGCGCCTCAACCGCCTGAGGACTACGTGGGAAGAACGTGGCTCAGCGACGTGCCCAAAGCCCCGCCCTGATCCCCCGCCGTGCTCCAGGCCCTCCAATCAGAGTGTCTCCCAGGGCCTGCCCTGTTCCAGGCTCTCCAATCAGAGTTTGCCCTAAGGCAAGGTCCTCCAATCAGAGTGTGCTCCAAGGACCCGCCCTTCTTAGGTTCTCCAATCAGAGTGTTCCCCAAGGCCCCGCCCTGTTCCCTGCCCTCCAATCAGAGTGCACCTGTGCCCTTGTGCCCAGGCCTCCTGCCTGCCAACCCAAGCCCTGCCACGCTAAGCCTGCTGGGAGCGTGGCTCTCGCCCCCACCCGGAGACCTGCGCTTTCAAAGCCCTCGGGCCGCCCGCTCCGCCGCCACCGCGCTGACCCGGAGCCTGCGTGGTGTGACCCCAGGGCCTCAGCCCTCTGGGCTGGCGCAAGGCATCAATGGACCGGATGTGCCTCGCGCGTCCGCCCTCTCCCTCTGAGGGTCCCGTTCAGGGCCGCTGGGCTGGGGCTCCCGTGGAAGCAAGCCTGGGCAGGGAAAGGTGGCCGCCTTGCCGAGGTCACACCTGGCGGCGAAACAGGGGCACCTGCCCCTGATCTGGGGGCAGGAGCAGGGAGAAGGCCACGGGAGGCTGTTAGGATGACCCAAGCAGGACCCCTACAGAACAACCGGGCACCACGGGCGGAAGAGGACTCGGGGTCCCAGCGGAAGGGCGCCGGTGGGCGAAGGCCCGCCCGAGGCAGGCAGCCCTCCCTCCTGGCGGAGTTTCGGGCCCGGAAGAAGTTCTGTGGGGCCGAAATACAAGCAAACGGAAGTCATCTTCCTCCTCTTCCACCTGCATCTCCGCGGCACTGACCGCCCACCGGGACGGGGCGAGGGGCGCAGGGGTGGGGGCCTCGGCGAGTGGATGGCGCTGAACACCCCAGAGCTGCTGACCTGGGGCCGGCCGAGCGCCAGACGAGTGGAGGAAGGTGGAGGACGGAACCCTGGGAAACAGCCCGAAGGAAGAGGCAAAGGGGTCCAGAGGAGGGAAGGAGACGCGGAAGCCTGCCGTGACCGCCTGCCACCATCATAGTCAGTGCCCGGCGCAGGGTCTGGGCATCAAGAGCATGGCGCTGACCAACAGCGTCAAGTCCAGTCAGTTAAGGACTGGAATATGCCCCCCAAAATGCCCAGTAAGAGGTCAGCCTGAGAAAGCGCAGCAGACTCCAGCGGGCTTGTCCTGTTGGTGCCCAGCATGGCACTGGTACCAGGCAGGGGACCTGGCCCTGAGCCCTGGGCCGCCAGGCGTGTGTGGGTTCTTGACCTGGTGTGGGAGGAACTTCACAACACGGGTCCCGTGACTATGAGGGTGTGTTTTTTCACACCGAGGACGGGGAAACCAGGAAGCAGCCACAGGAGGGCCCGAGCTGGGCTGCGCTGCCACTGGGAGGTGCAAAGAGGGGCCTGGGAGACAGGGTCGGGGTGGCCCGGGTGAGCTGTCACTGCCCATTGCCCCCTGGTGGCTAGTCTTGAGGCGTCCCTTCGCGTTTAGGATGTGCACGCCTGTGAGAGGAGAGGGGGGAGGAATGGTGCCGTGTGCTCCCCAGCAGCAGAGCTTGCTCTGGGCCCTCTTTCCCGCAGGCCGGAATTGTCAGGGCAGTCGGGGGGGATTTAGCACACTGTTCCCTGTTTTCCAGGTGTGCTCTTGTGGGGTGGTGGTCTCCCTCGGTTGGCCAGTGCCAGAGCAGGTAGCACATTGCTCACTGCAGCTGGTCCTGAGATCACCCGCTTGGTTCTGCTGCTGTTCTGGGCCTGGAGCTGAAATACTGCGGCCTCGATGTCATCCCTTGGGAGGCGACCTTCTGTACCGGCTGTGAATTACTCGGCCCGTTAGTTCAACGCTCTCACCTTCCCCATTCTGCTCGCCAAGGAGTTTTCTAGCTTTCTAGCTTCTTTTATTTTTATTTTTTATTTTATTGATTTTTATACAGAAAGGATGGGAGAGTTAGAAACATCGATGAGAGAGAACCATCGACCAGCTGCCTCCTGCACACCCCGTACTGGGGATGTGCCCGCAACCAAAGTACATGCCCTTGACCGGAATTGAACCTGGGACCCTTGAGTCCGCAGGCCGACGCTCTATCCACTGAGCCAAACCAGTTCGGGCTCTAGCTTCTTATCCCGATCAGCACAGAACTGGCAATCCCAGCCCAAATCCTGGCCCCCCACTAACATAGTATGAGCTCCAGACCTGCGTTCTGACTGTGCCCATACTGCAGCCTCCGGAACGGCCCCTGCCTGGCATGCTTGTTGGCCGAGGACAGGAAACCTCATAGGCCGACGGCGACCTGCGGGCCTTGCAGGTTTCGCATATTTGCGTTCCCAGCTCGCAAGGGAGAACAGCTGACAGCAATTACAACCCCGCTGATGCAGGAAGCCGCCCGCCCTCTCCCACAAGCAGCAAAGCCAAGGTCAACGAGCCTTCCCATCTTCGCTGACCTCAGCCACGAAACGCAGCCTCTGTACTCAGTAAATCTGCTGGGGCGGCCAGTTCTTTGAACATTGTTTTCTTTGAAGATGTGTTGGATTTGCAACTAAAGATGTTAAAAGTGTGTTGATCTCAAGTCATGTTTGAAGTTCAAAAGCTTTCTCTTGAAATAGCTCACAACGATGCTCTCCAGTTTCCCCTAAACGTTGCCCTCGGCAGTTTTCTAACCCATATGGGCCTACAACACTTTTTCTGAGAGTGCTTCTCAGACCTGGCCCTGGTCTCAGGACTCCCCTTAACAATAACTGGCCCTGCCCTGGCCGGTAAGGCTCAGTGGGTTGGAGAGTCGTCCCATGCACCAAAAAGTCGCAGGTTCGATTCCCAGTCAGGACACAGGCCTGAGTTGCAGTTGGGGCAGGTATGGGAGGCAACAAACGGATCAATGTTTCTCTCTCACATGGATGTTTCTCTATCTCCCCCTCCCTCTTTCCTTCCCTCCCTCCTTCTGTCTTTCTCTCCTTTCCTTTCTCTCCAAAATCAGGAAAACATATCCTCAGGTGAGTATAAAAAATAAAAATAACTGGCCCTGGTGGGTGTGGCTCGGTTGGTTGGAGCATCATCCCACACATCAAAAGGTGAAGGGTTTGCCCTGGCCAGTTTGGCTCAGTGGATAGAGCGTCTGCCTGCGGACTGAAGGTCCCAGGTTTGATTCTGGCCAAGAGCACACGCCTGGGTTGTGGGCTTGATCCCCAATAGGGGGCGTGCAGGAGGCAGCTGATCAATGATTCTCTCTCACTGATGTTTCTATCTCTATCCCTCTCCCTTCCTCTCTGAAATCAATAAAATATATATATATATTTTTAAGTGAAGGATTCAATTCTCCATCAGGGCACATACTCAGGTTTTGGGTCCAGTCCTGTCCGGGTGCATGCAGGAAGCAACTGATGAATCCATTTTTTTCTCTCTCTCCCCCTCCCTCTCTCTAAGATCAAAAATTTTTAAAAGCTTACAAAAAATAAAGCCGTGTGATGTTAAGTATCTTTTTAGGAAAAGTAAAATATGATTTTTCCAGTGTGAGAAGAGTGACACTTCTCCATTGTCAGTGACTCTTACTGTGGCCTCCTGACAGCTGGGCTCTTACCGATGTCATTCTCTTGTGACATCACAAGTCACGCAGCCTCTGGGAGACTCCAGCATGCCCCTGTGAGAGAATGCTAGTGAAAAAGAACATCCGCACCTTCCCACTGTGATGCAGACAGATTTGACCACCCCCCCCCCACACACACACACACAGGAGCTTGGAAACCCCCAAACCGTACTGAGAACCATGCCCTAAAACGCTGGCCTTTAGGCTTTGCTCCAAGCTTCCTGCGATTCTAAGCGGTCTTCTCCCGGAAGCAGGACACACCCCCCCCCCACCCTCCATCCTTCTGTCAGGACTCATTTCCTTCTGCCTGAATAATGAACTGCTGACTTTTTTTTTTTTTTTTTTAATGCGATCTACTGGTGATTATTCCGTCTTGGTCTGTCTGAAATCTCACCTTATTCACCAGAGGTTAATTTCCCTATGCACTGAATTCTAGGCTGGCAGTTATTGTTAGTTTCCTATGGTTTTGTTTCCATTTATGTTCATGCACCTGCCTGCTTGGTTTCCATAAGGCCTTTTGAAATTGTGGTGTGACTTTAATTTCATCGCTTCTGGAAATTTCTCAGCCACCTATCTGATAATGTTTCTGCCCCCTCTCTCATCCTTTAAGACTCCAAGTACACATCTGACGTACCCCCCTTGCTGTACCCCCTCTCTGAACTGTTGTCGCTACGTTTCTGAATGGTTTCCTCTATCTTCCAATGCAGTTAAGTCTTCAACTCTCTCAGCTGCTAAACGCACCCAATTTCTCTTTGGCTCTTTTCAGACCCGGAAAGTGGTTTTCTTTTTGTTTCACTTGCTACGATTCTCTGCTGAGATTTCCAGCCTTGGTTTGATCTCCTTGCCCAGGGAGGGGGCGCTTTTGAAAGGCTGTGTCTGTAGGTCCAGTGTCTGGGGCCCTGGCTCTTGCCGTAGGATTTCTATGCACAGAACAGATGCATAAATGCACGCGGGGCAGACATGTTAACAATTCAAGGAGAAATGGCAAGAAAACCGCAGAGAAGGATAGCCGGTCCCCTTTTCAGGTCGATCAGCTCGTCCGCTCTTGGCCAGGCCCTTCCGGTTTCAGCCCTGCGTCCCGCGTCGGGGACCGATCCACACGGTTCGTCACCTCATTATCACACCCAGCCCCGCCCCACCCGCCCCTCCCCGGCGCTGCAGCCTCGGCGCGGCCGCTGGGGGCGCTGTGGTGCGCAGGCGCCGCCTGGGGCGCGCGCTGGCTCCGGGGCGCCGCTCCTTCCGCCTTCCCGGCAGGCCTTGCGCGGCGCCTGCGCGTTCAGTGACCTTCCCGAGTAGCTGGCTGTGCGTGTCGGGGCTGCCCGAGCGGTTGGTCCTGCGGCGAGGTGAGTGCGGGGCCGCGCCCGGTGCTTGGGGCGGGGCAGCCGCGACGTGGGGGCCGGGGCGGGGGCGGCGGCGGCCCGGGGCCGGTGTGCCCGCGGAAGGAGCCGGCGGCGAGCGGGACCCTCCCCAGGTCCCCGCCTGCACCCCCCCCCCCCCCCCGACCTTGCGGCCCGGCCCCTCCGTTCCCCAGCGGGGCGAGCTGGTCCGCCGGCCCCGGAGCTGGAGGCGGGTGAGGGGGTGAGGGGGTGAGGGTGCGTGGGTCCACCGCCCCTCTCCCTCTTGGGCGAGCGCCTCGGCCGCGGGGGCCAGTGGTGGAGCCGGAGCCCAGGCCGGGAGCCGAACCCGCCTGTGGCGCGTTCTCCCCGGCACCCCTCAGCTTCCCACGCACCCTGACTCCGAGCTACACTGTGCCTCTGTCGTGGGGGAGGGGAACGGGGCCGAAACGGGGTTCAGGGGCGACGCTTGGATTGCACGGACTGAGCTTGCGCGCCCGGGCCGGCCGCCACGGGAGGGGGGGAGTGGCTGCTGCTAACGCGCCGCAGCCTTTGCGGGGCGGGGTACACGGACACCCCCCTGGCCTTTGGTAAGGACGGGCCTGGGAAGGAAGGTGCTGTGAGACGCGCACACGGAGCTGGGGATGCGGGCGGACAGGTGGGGTCACTATTAAATGTTGAGAACGTGTCACCTGTCCAGCCAACTGTGGCAACTTTGGTTAAAAGGAAAGTTGGGGCGCCTGGCTGGTGTGGCCCCATGATTGAGCATCAATCAGGGGGTGCAGGAGGCAGCCCATCGATAATTCTCTCTCTCTCCTCTGAAATAATGAAGACGTGTCTTGTTTTTTTTAAAGGAAAGCTGGGGGGAGGGGAGTGTTGGCCTGTCCTGGTGGCAGTGATTGTGGGTGAGAAGACGATGCCGGACTCCTGAGCCGAATGTCGGGGTGACTAGCGGTTCCTCGGTCCCTCCTTCCCTGCCTCCTGTGCGCCCTCCAGACCCTCCTCTGGCCGCTCGGGCGGCCTGGCCCAGGGCTCTTCGCTGCCCTCTGGGTGTCCTAGCCTTTCTGCTGCTGCTCCGATGGTTCACTGGTGCTCACTCCTCACCGGGCACCCGATGGGCTTCTTGTCTCCTCGGATTACGGGGAGCACCTGGGAGCAGGAAGGGGGTTCCCTGCTTCTCAGAAGGATCTCCTGAACCGGCAGCTTGAATGAGATCGGGAGCAGAGCAGGCAGAGCTGGTCCAATGGGACCTGGGGTTCCATTTCTGCCCCGTGGCCCCTGGCCCCTTCCTCCCCACCTACTGTGGGTGCAGGAGGTGGAGCTGCCCTCCGGCACCTTCCAAGTCAGCTTGTCGGGTTCATGGAGCCTCATTCTGACGGAGCATCTCAGGGCCGTGTGAGGACAGACCGGTGAGGGCCCCGGGGGAAGGACACAGCCTCAAGCGAGGGGCAGGTTCTTGTGGGAACCGGAAGCAGGGCTGGCGGAGGGCAGGCTGCTTTCTAGAGGTTAGGGAGTGGGGAGCAATAAAGGGTGGAGAGCTGTTAAATACGCGTCACATCTACACTAAAGAGAGATGTGCAAATTGACCATGCCTCTGTGGCCCACCAGCCATTGAGGCGTGCGTATGCACATTAACCAAACAAATGGTGGGTTATTTTGCATACACAGGTGTGGAGCAGCTGGGGCAGGGTGGCCACTTGCGTACGCATGGCACCAAGCAGGCTGCATCCCGGCCGCTCTGAGCCTGTAGGTCCGCGGGCAGGCCCAGGGCAGCCGGAGTTCCAGACGACCCCCAGCCACTCCGGGCCTACGTGCACAGGAGCAGACACCAGGGCCTACGGTGGCATCAAGTAGGCAGTCCACAGAGCGAGAACCACGGGAGCAGGACAGTAGGACATCTCCTGAGGGCTCCCAGATTAGAGAGGGTGCAGGTCAGGCTGAGGGACCGGGCCCCTGGCTTTAGATAAAGCCAGTGCTCGGTGCTGTACCGCCACGCCGTGGCATGTGGTATGACAAGCCCTCGACATAGGACACTTGACCCTGAATCCCTGGCTCAGGGTAGCTCATCTTCACACCCTTTGAGGGGGTGCTGTTCTCAGCCCCGCTTTACAGGTGAGGAAATGGGGCCGTCTGACGCAGCTTTAGCGGCGCAGGGCCAGGGTTTGACCCCAGGCAGCACAGTGGCCTGGGGTCTCGGCGCAGACCCGGCCACCGAGTCCACGCTCAGCCCACATTGGCTGGTGAATAGGGACCCCCACGTGCAGGTGTCTGTGCGGAGACCAGGGAAAATAGGAGGACCATTCTGCGCAGCCAGGGGAGGGGAGAGGCAGGCGGAGGCGGGGAGGCGGCAGCATCAATGACACAAAGCAGCGTCTGTGCTCCTGACGGTGGTTTGAGTGAGTGTAGGCATTAGGCCAGCTGTTTCTGCAAAGCTCGCCTGAGGATAGGTGTTTGGTGATTTTTTGGGGGGAGGGAGGGTACAGAAACATCAATCCCTTACCTCCTATACATCCCCCGATCGGAATGGACCCACAGCCTTGGGTGTGCTGGGTGGCACACCCACCCCTGGAGCCGGCAGGCTGTTACCAGACTTACTGGGATGGAAGGGGAGTCTGCAGTAAAGCATAAACATCATCACAGTGTCCTGTGAGACCTGCACGTGGCAATGCGCTGTGAGTGGAGGGACGGATGGCTCATCGATCACATCCAGCAGCTCATGAGGTCAGTTGTCATGGCAGCTCTTCGGAAGCGAGCTGTCTGAGCTGCCGGCTTTGTCCTTAGCAGTGGGCTTCAGACGGGCACGTAGAAAGCATCGTGACCCAGTCAGCGCCGTACTTGGTTGTGTCATTGAAGTTAGCTGAGAAGGGAGCCTAAAAGTCGCACAGAAAAAGCACACATGGTGATGGACGTGTTACTGAGTGCATGGGGGAGCCCCCACCACGTGTACACTTTACCGTCTTACCGTTTCCTGTTGTCGGGCAGACCTCGGTGCAGCTGGAACTTGAGGCAGTGAGTTGCAGCTGTCGCTGTGCGCCGCCTGGTGTCGTTCTCCCGGGAAATGGTCGCGCCTTGACCATGTTCTTGTCCCGCTTTGAATGCCAACAGTCCTGCCCGGCCGGCTAGCTCAGCGGTTGAGCATCGACCTATGAACCAGGAGGTCCCGGTTCTGTTCCCGGTCAGGGCACACCCTGGGGTGCAGGCTTGGCCTCTAATGTGGGGCGTGCAGGAGGCAGCCGATCAGTGATTTTTCTCTCATCATTGATTTTCCTCTCCCTTCCTCTCAGAAATCAATATTATATGTATTAATGCCAACTGCTCTTAGCGAGATGATGCAGACACACCAGTTCTCAGTTTAAAGCTGTGAGGTGGTGTGTGAATTGTGGCAGGGCATTCGCTGACGCTGCGGGATGGCACAGGCTTGAGGAATGAGGGTGACTGACTGAGGGATGCTCTGGCCCAGGTCAGGCGGTGGGGGGCGGTGGGGAAGCTCAGAGAGCCAAGTGCAGGGGCCCACGGGGGCCTGGCATCAGAGCAGATCCCTGAAGTCGTGGGGAGTAGGTGGACGTCATGAACAGGTGGGGATCTCCTGCCAGTTCCGTTTAAGCCGTGGCCGTGCTAACAGGTATCCCTGCTTTCCTTCCAGATGTTCCAGAGCCTCCTCAGAACCGTGTGGGTCCCCCTGAAGCCCTACTACACGCAGGTGTACCAGGAGATCTGGGTGGGCATGGGGCTGATGGGCCTCATCGTGTACAAGATCCGGAGTGCGGGTGAGTGTCCTCGCTGGGCTCCTGGGGACACAGGCAGAATCCCTCCGAGGAACTCCGGGCCCGTTGAAGGGACTGGAGCTCTTACCTAACCATTGGGCCCCGTTAAAAGGTGGGGAGCACACGTTGGCCAAGGGGTGTTCGGGGACATTTGAATAAGGCCTGGCTGCCAGGGAACTGACTTCCCAGATGGGACTGCTGTTTGGAATGCACGGTGAGAGCCTCGGCGTTAGGAATGCAGACTATTTGAGGGTGAGTCCTGGGTGCAGTGTTTATGCTCCTGTGCCGTTGGCTGAGGGTGTCAGATGTCTCCACGCTGACAGGGAGGCAGGGTGGCCCAGTCACGTATTGACAAGCGATTGGTTTGGAGAGAAAAGCAGGAGGGAGCTTTCCAGTTGCCAGAGGAGGGCTGGGGGGGTGGGGAGTGAGGAGCCTGCCACGCGGAAGCGGAAGCGGAAGCGCCTGTGGCGGGGCCCCCTCGCTGAGAGGCCCAGCGGCTGAGAGGCTGTGAGGCTGTGAGACCAAATGCCGCTCCTGAGCGCTCCCTGTCGGCTCCGCTCCGTGCTGGCCCACAGGGACCGGTCCGGCTTCTGTACAGCGCTGACCACTTTTCCTTTCTTTTCTTTCAGATAAAAGAGCCAAAGCTCTGAAAGGTAAGGGGCCTGCTTTAAGTGGGTGGGGCGAGCCCCATCGGAGGGGAAGGGAGTCCGGGCCTGAGGGGACGAAGCGGGGGGCTTGGGAAGGTGAGGTCTGCCTCTCGGTCTGAGGTTCAGGCGGTGCTCATGCGTGTGCAGCAGGAGGGAGCGCGGACAGGCAGGGAGCTGGCCCCTGTAGGGGAGCCCCAGTTGCTGGGCACCCCGCCCGGTCGGTGTGTGGGGGAGCCCCCTGAACTTAGGCCCTGGCACTAGCGGGTCTTACGTTGCTTCCCAAGTGACAGTGAAGCGCTGTCATCTGAGCCCTGCACGCCCAGGCTGGCCCGGCCCCTGGGGAGGAGACGTGGCCCGCCCTCCATCCTGGCGCCTGAGGCACCCTCACTTCCAGGGCGACCTGCATAGAAACCACCTTCTCACAATGGGCCATTCTGACACTTCCTCGCTTCCGATGCTGACACGGTAGCTGCACTCGGCTTGCTCTTCCTAACCGTGTCTGTTGTGCTTCTTCCGAAGGTTCGAGTCCCGCGCCTGCTCACGGTCACCACTAGCAGCTGGGCGAGTGCAGCGGGGAGCGTCGGCCAGCATCCACCTCGGCTGTCAGATGGGGGCACCGTGCTGTCTAGAAGTGCCGTGTCCTTGCTGGCATGAATAAACATACCTGTGGACACATGCCTGCTTGCCGTCCTCCCCCCGCCTGGCGGCCGACCCCGCAGATCTGTGCGGCCAGGCGCTCCCCGGCCGGTCGGCCTTAGGGAGCCCCAGGAATTGGTGCAGATCTCGGCCTCATAGGCTGTGGGCTCAGGCCCAGGCCTCCCCCGTCTGGGCTCAGTGCCCATGAGCTCGCACACGGGGCGGCGATGTGCACGCCTGACTTGGCGCCGCTGTGAGGCGGGCGGGTCTGGAGGAGCATCGTATTCCCGCTAAGCTTAGACAGAAGGTCCCGTCAGGTCACTGGGTGGAGTTAGAAGCTCGGATGCCATCGGAAGACAGGGTCCTTCAGTGAGGCCAGTGCATGGCCTTTTCTCCACCCAAAGCGGTGACCACAGCCCTCAGAGACGCGGCTTTCACCTACAGCCGGAGCCGGGAGCCGCAGGAAGCCCGGGGGAACCTGTTTCGGCAGGTTAGGGCTGGCTGTGGAGCAAGATGACACCGTGCCTGGCCCTGGCTGTTGCCTGCTTTTCCTCTGCGTCCAGCATGCGGCCAGGCCTGGCCACTTGGAGCCCGACCAGTGGCTGGGCGTCCTGTGGGTTCCTGTGCCTCCGTGTCTGTCAGATCGGCCTCTGCCCACGGCTGCCTCGGGCTCCAGCAGGAGTCTGCGTGAAGGCATTGGAGGCCCAGGGACACGGGGGGATCTTCTCTGTTCCCACAGGAATCACATTTTCTCCCGAAAGATAGCGGCCTCTGGGAGATGAGCTGGCGCCTGGTTCAGAAATACTTAGGGTCCCTCACCTGGCCCTGTGCTCAGACCAGCCGGCGTCAGTCCCGGGGGCTCAGCACTGCCAGCTGGCGGGGCATGCTGATGGGGGACCACTTGGAAAACGGAGGGCTGATCCTATGGAGAGCGGCACCCACAGAGGCTTCTGTCCACAACACCGCCTGCCTCACTGGTTCTAAGCCAAACGGGGGCTGGGCCACGTGCAGGGCCCAGGCTGGGCTCCCAGAGGCTGAGCCGCCCGGAAAGGGACAGGAGGCTCACGGAAGGGCCTGGAAGGCACAGGGCGGTGTGGCCGGGCGCCTGCGCCCTTGTTGCCTGTGGCTCCTGCGGTGTCATCTGGGCGGGTGACAGTGTCTCCTTAAAGATGCCTGTTGCCCACGTGGCCTGCACCTGGACCCACTGCAGAGCAGTGAGGACTGAGCGGAGATCGAGGGTGCCCTCTGGAGGCGGGCTGGTGTGCTGGCTGCAGCAGGGCGGTGTGTAGCAGGGCAGCTGGAGGGCATCATAAGCAGATGCCGCCCACCTGCCCCGCCTTTTCGCTCCGCAGGGCCAGCCTGGGAGAGGGAGCCCTCTTCCCACTGCACAGGCAGCTTCCCAGCTCCTCTGGCTTTGGGAACAAGCCGGTCATGGCCTGGGGTGGCCTGTAGGTGGAGCCAGTGTGTCAGGAGCCGACAGGCACAGCTTCCTGCGGGTGACAGTCCCCACATGGAGACTGCTGGGTGCTGGCGCTGGGCAGAGGGGCCCGGCCCTGCAGGAGGGAGCACTCTGCTTCTGGACGTCCACGCAGGCCTCTGCCCACCAGCTGAGGCCCTGCCCCTGCCAGGATCCCCTTTCCACAGGACAGCTCCCCACCTGCAGGAAGGAAGCGGGGGGGGGGGGGGGGGGGCGGTCAGCTCGCAGCACAGGCCCCCTCCCAGGGCGAGGTTTGCTCATCGAACCCTAGCCGAGCCAGCAACTCTTCTCAAAGTGGGGTTCAGGGGCTGCGGCAGCCCCGGGCCTGTGCTTCCAGGAGGTCCTGATCACACCAAGTTCAAGACCCACTTCCTGGAAGAGCTGCCTTTCCAGGAAAGGAAGCTGGGCAAAGCCGGCAGCCGCCTGCATCCGCCCTCGATGCCCCTGCAGGCAGGGTCCCTCAGAACCCCTCTAGCTACTCCAGGAAACCACGGCTGAACTCTCACCACCCCTTCCCTTCCCGCCCAGCCGCCAGGCCCGAGGGCCCTGATTAAGGCTGGGAGCAGGCTAGGAGCCCCACCCCCACCATGCTGAGGTCACAGCCAGCCCAGAGGCCTGGGCTGAGGTCAACTCCCCATCCAGCCCAGAGCCGGGCCTGGGGGCCCTGCCTTCCACCTGGTCCCTGGTCCACCCCCTCCCCGGGAGACCGGCTCCCTTCCCGCCCCACGGAGATCGGGTGGATCATTAACGCCACTGGCATGACCTCACACCCGGTGCCCTCCCGGGGCTGTCCCTCCAGCAGGCCCCTCGCCTGGGGGTCACTTTCTTCAGGCTGTCCCCTCCCCTCCCCTCCTGCCTGGGAACCAACCAGCGGCCAGGCCCAGGCTCCCAGCCGCAGAGCGGGTATGTGCTGACCCACCCCAGAGCTGCCACATCTTGTGCAAGGGACCCCCCTGGTTCCTGGCTCTGCCTGCAGGCAGGTAGGGTGCACCCCAGTTCTGGATGATCTGAGAGTCCCCTCACATCAGCCCAGGCAGGACAGAGGGTCCCCGGGACCCCTGGAACCCAGGACTGGGTCTGAGATGTGGGCGCTGTCCCCCCGGGCCTCTGGCCTCCCCTGCCAGCACTTCTCCCTGCCCCTGCCCCTCTGGCCTGCCCTCTGCTCCCGCTGCCATGACCTTTGGCCTCACTGCCTCCTCCCCCGGGCACCTCTGTCCCAGCGGGAGTAGCTGAGGGGACTTGGACCTGCGGCTGGAGGTCATGGCCGGGCCAGGGTTCCGCCTGCGACCAGCGGTGTGCCCGTGGGAGTGGGAGCCGCGCTCTGTCCCTACGGCTCTGATCCTGTCCCACTGCCCTGACCCCGTCGGGTTCCCACTCCCAGCGCTAGAGCCCAAATGGATGCGGTTTTATTTAACCTTTATCGGTGGTCCCATCGTGGCATGTCCGCTGGTGAGTCTGACCGGAACTCCAGGTCTGGGCGGCGGAGGCTGTGCTGTGAGCGGGGCCGGGGGTGGGGCCGGCCTGGTCTGGGGAGGCTCCCCCACAGCCACCCCGGACTCAGCGTCTCTCACCTCAGAAAGCAATGAAGCTCCGTGCCCCTGCCCCCTGAGGGCTCACCCCGGAACCACTGCCCTGGGGCTGGGCTCCAGTGACCTCGGGGCCAGCGACAGCGGCGCCCTCCTCCAGGGGGGCTGATCAAACACTGCAGGCTGGAGGGGGCGCCTCGCTCCGGGAAGTGAGGAGAGCGGGTGGCCTGGATCCGGGCCCGGGGAGTCACTTACACCCATTACACCGGCTCCTGTCAGTGGCCGGGAAGTGTTTGTCCTCACGGTGAACAAAGCGGCCTTTGTCGCCACCGCCTCCGATGGCCCGCCAGGCTCCGAGATAGGACCAGCCGGTGCTGTCCGGCGCCTGGGGCTGCGGCAGACAGGAACCTCCCCCCCCCCCCCCCGCAGCCCCTCCAGGCAGCTCCCTCAGCGCCAGGTCAGCGAGGGGCCCTGTCTCCTCTCGGAGTGGAGGTGGCCTGTCCCCTGCAGAGCAGCCTGGGGGCCCTGGGCCCGCCTCCTGGGGCCTCACCCTGCCTCCCAGGTCTCGGAATGCTCCCCGCAGTACCCCCAAGCCCACCCGCCCCTCCCCTGGCCCCAGGCTGGGGGCCCCGGGCTGGGGGCCTCGGCTCAGCTCCTGGTAGGAGCCGGGCACTTGAACACACACACACACACATGCCTTCCCTGGGTTGGGTCACAGCGATCTAGGATCTAGGGAAGGAGGACGGCCAAAGCCACATCAGGGAGCAGGCTGAGCTAGGCCCAGGCGCAGGCCAGGGGGGGAGGTGCGGGTTGGAGGGGGCGTGTGGGCCGCCTCTCCGGGAGTTTCCCGCTGGGAACACCAGCAGGGCCCACACCGAGCTCAATGCTCCCGCGAGGCTGCGCCAGGCCTGAGACCCCGCACGGATGGCAGCTCAGGCCCAGGGCCCACTGCACCCGTGGCAGCCGCAGCCACCCCACCGGGAGGGGCGAGGGCCCACCGTGCGGGCTGCAGAGCCCAGGGCCGGGGGAGCCGCCCAGGCCCTCCCGCCCCGCAGGGGGCTGCGGGAGGCCCAAGCCCAGGGCGGGAGCCCCTCCCGGGACCCTCGGTGTCCGTGTCAGAGGGGAACAACCCGCTGGCACCGGGCCCTTTAGCTGGGACCTCCGAGGTCAAGGGCACAGAGTGGCAGGTGGGCGTGGCCGGGAACCAGGCCCAGGAGGCGGTGCGGGCACCATGAATGCTCGCCTGGCTGCACCCTCCACCCCCCCACCCCCACCCCGGCCTCTCCACCAAGCCCTGCCCATCGGGGTACGGGGCAGGCCCGGGAGGCAGGTGCCCTGAGCTGAGGGTGAGTGAGGAGGAAACGCGTGAGGAGCTGGAGGCCACTTCCCGGCCGCCTCCTCCACAGCTGCCCGGTGAGGGCCTCTGGTGCCCCGCAGGTCGCACCCCTCGGCCGCCCGGAGGCCTGGCCCTGAGCCCGCCCCGGGACGGCGCCCAGCAGAGGCCACCGGCGCTGGTGGCACCGTGAGGACTGACCTCTCCCGTGGGGCCTGCCCTGGCCCGCGGGCAGGAGAGGGGCTCGGACCCTGTCCTGGAAGGCAGGTCCCCTCAGTCATCTCCCGCCCAGCCACCCGGGGAGCGGGGCCTGGAGGGGGACAGCGTGTGGCTGGACGGCTCCTGAGATTCCGGCGTCTGGCTGGAGCACCTGGTGCGGCGCCTGAATCACAGCGACTCACGGACACCCGAGGCCCCCACTTCCCCCCTCGGCATCTGGACTCCGGCCTCGTCCCCTTCGCCGGCCGCTTGGCACCACACACTCCTCGGCCAGGCTCTGGCCCTCCGACCCCACCTGGCCTGCGCACGCTGGCAGGAACCCGGGGGGAGTCCCACGCCCCCTCTGAGCCTCCACTTCCTCATCTATAAACGGCCTGCCCTGCCCCGCGGCCACACGGTGCAGGCTCCATCCTGACGGGGGAGACCTCCCAGATTCAGTTTGCTTACGGGAAAAGCAGTTCACAGGCCGATGCCCTCAGAGCGA